ACTGTTGTCGTTCGTGCAGTTGTTTTCGGTCTTGAGAGAGACTGCTTGATTGCCTGATGAAGACGCCCATCCATAACAACTCTACCTTTGAGCTCTCACAGAATCTCAAACCCGATCATGGCGTCGTTGATATGGCTGTTTCTCAGATGAGGGAGAATATCAATAGGCTTGATCAAGGAGATGTGGATGGGGTCGTTCATGTGGTTGTTTTTCGTCTTGGGGTTCATATCCTGCGAAAGCTTGAGGAGGAACTTATGGTGACTCGATGCCGTCATTCATGTAGATGTTTTTTCGGGTTGGACTTTAGACTTACACAACATAGCAGTTGCCGTTTAGTATTCGTTGCTGAATACGCATTACAATTGTGATTCTGCTCACATATAAGAATTTTCAAAAAGTAATTGCGTCTTCATCAGGAAGCATATCGTGATATCCGGGATCATGCAAAATGACCCCATCTTCGCTTCCAGGTGAACACACAAAGTGACATATGCAAGGAACTGCTTCACATGCAGTCCGATACACCCTTAAAGGACGGCCTAGACGCCGTGATAAGGTACCGAAGACTCGATGTAGTCAGCCACGGGTCCTCATGTACACATGGCCTGACATGGACTCGGCAGCTGCACCAGAAGATGGATGGTAGGGCTGACCGGTCAGGGGCTTGCTCGTCCCGAGACACCCACACCGGTTCGAGGATTCCCGATTAGCCGCGCGAACAGAGATTCGAGTATGTCGTTGGCTGCCAAAGTGCACTTTTCCGGTGTGGTATCGGACCCGAGCGACTGACAGTTGAGTAAGGAAGAGGTTACGAATTACACCCGAGAGGCAGCTGGGATACGCAGCATTATCCAACAGGAGCGGGCCGATATCGTATTCGGCACATGGTGAGAGACATTTGGTACTTACATTCCGAAGACTCTCACCCGAATCCTTCAATCCGAAATTGACATGGTTGAGCTGGGTGGTGATGGTGTCGCGGAATACCCGTGGATGGCACCCTGGGGTGATATCAGTCTGAGTCTGAGTCTTCAAAGGAGAGAGATGAATCTGTGACTGTACAACTTATCACCATGTTGTGCCAATTACGTATCAACTCGGGAACGACACTCATATCAACGAACCCATCTGTAATTGATTGCGTGCAGTCAACACGTGCATTCCTCTGCTCGGGGAGCGTTATCGGATGCTGATTGCTGGATACTCGGTCCGCTCCACACACGCCCCTCCATTCCGCGAATAAGCGTGCGGGTTTTCCATAAACGCCCAGCCACCACCCCCTCTCACCGCTGAGGAGTGCTGTAGGCCAAGGCCAGATCGCTGAAGCAGGCCCAGGTCTAGCCGGTACTTGGTGGTTCCAGAACCTGCAAGGTCGCTGCTCCAGTTACCTCATCACCTTTCCTCCAGGGCAAAAGTAAATCTAAAACACAACCTGGAATCGCACACAAACTTGGCTTTTTTTCTCTATCTAGCAGGAATACCAGAAAGGCCATGATCGGCAGCCTGCTTGGTGGTACGGATACATACTTTGTCCCCGTCACGCGCGTCATTCCGTCTTCAGCCAGAGAATGGCTGCAACTGCAACAATGCCCGCTGCAACAATGGACGACGCTGCGAGGCTCGTGTCGGAGCTGCACGACAAGCTCGCTGAGCTAGATGGCAAAGTGGCCGCCTACCGGCGCGACATGCTGGCCGAGTTTCACAAGCACATGGAGGACTGTCTCAAGGACTACCCAGACGACGTCTCCAGTCAGGTGTCGCGAGTCATCGCCGAGTCAATGTCCAGGTACCCGGCTCTCAGTCCGACAAACCACGACATGGCCGACTCGCCCGCTACCACCACCCATCATAAGACCCCAGGCTGGAAGGGCCGCAAGTCGCCTCCCCCGGTTCTCCCCCACACATCTGGCGTGCCGACAAAAGAGGGTCCCCGGAGTCCGCACGAGCGGGAGAAGGAGTTTCAGGGTGTCTTCACGCCGACATACCTGCCGCTGCTCGAGAGCAATGAGCGTTCCTCCCATCGACCGCCACCGACATCGCCGGTACCGGTTCCTCCCGTCGTTCAGCAGCCACAGCAGCAGCAGCAACAACCACCACCACAGCAGCCACCCCAGCAACAATTACAGTCATTAACCCCTCTGTCTGTCGACAACGTCAAAAAGGTGGAGGAAATCAAGAAGCCCGAGGCCCCTGTCGAGGGTAGGCCGGATCCGATCAGGCGGCTGACCGACCGATCCACATCGTCGGTTGAGTCCTCGAGCAGCGAATCCAAGGTGCGGAGAAGTGCACTGCGCCGGAGCTCAAGCTCCGTCAAGGGTGCTGCGAGCCCAAGACGGGTGCGCTTCGACTTTTCAGGAGAGGAGGTGTTCCCGTCGTCTTCCCCGCAGCAGGCAGCCAGCCTCGTGGCTATGGCTGTGGAGGATGACGAGGCGGACAAGCCCAAGGCTGAGTTTCTGCCTGTTGTCGAAACGTCAGCCACCTCGGCTGCTGCTGTCGTAGAGGATGAGTCACCTGAGCCGGAAGAAGAGTATATCGGAACGTCGCTCCTCGACGTGGAAGGGGAGGAGGATTGGCTCCCAAGACCCAGAAAGGTTTCTTCAACCCAAGCTTTGCAAGCACTTACCCGCAGCCCGCTGGAAGAAGGTTCATTTTGGACTGTTGTTAACGCGAATAACAATGAGGAGTCTGGAAAGGTGAATGGTCAAAAAGAGAAAGAGACCAACACTTCAGCCCCAGCTCCTGTCAAGGTTGACTCTCAGGCTACCCTTCGGCCAGTTGACGGTCCGGGAGAAGATATCCCAGTCAGCGGTCTGCTTGGCTCACCAATTGAAGAATTAGAGCAGTATGTCGACGACGACGACGACGAATCCGAGGAGGAGTTTTTGTCCATGCGGCCCAAGAACAGCAAGAAGTCGCCCTCGCCAGGCGCCCAGACACCCTTCAAGTCGCCAGCCACTTCTCAATTTGCGCCATCTAACCAGACCTCCAAGGTATCCGGGCCATCAAAAACTAACGGAAAACAAGACATCCTCGAAGAAGACCCCCTGTTCGACTTTGAAGATGGTGAGAACGGAACCGGGAAAGCAGACAAATACCTCCCCGAAGAGGAAGACGATGATGATGAGGATGAGGATGACGGAGTGGAGGTCCGCATCCCACACAGACCAATGAGGACGACACCCACGCCCCTCCAGACCGTACTCGAGGACGAAAACAAGAAACACTCTCGCACAACCAGCTTGCCACCAGTGTCTCCATCAGCAGTCCTGTTTGGTCACAGTATTGGGTCATTTAGAGGCAACTCTATCTCGCTAAACCCCATCAAGAACACAAAACTCTATGATGAAATCGCCGGGCTTAAGGATGTCCACTTCTTCGTCGGTAGTGTCGACGGACGTAGTGGTGCCGAGGCAGCCGATATGGGGAGCTACAGAGCGATGTCGAAGGGGGTGCCAGCTGTGCCGAGAAGTTTCACCGAGAGGTTAGCCATCGAGGAGGCGATGGAGCGGAGGAGACACGAGGATGATGATGAGTAGTTGAGCCAAGAGGTGGTTGTATATGTTTGCTTGACTTGGCTGGGTTTCTCAGGGTGTGGTGTCAGTTTTCCTTAGTTATGGTTGCATGGATTGGAGTGATTGCATTACTTTCGACATTACCGGGATTTCTACATGGTGTTTGTCTTTTTCTTTGGGGGTGGTTAAAGAAAGGGAAAGAATTCGGGGAACTTGAACATCATGAAGAGAGGGGACGGTGTTATATTGTGGTTTTTGTATTATACTATGGCTGCATTATAAACTCGGATAACGGTAATGGGAGGGGGGGGGGGTTAATGGATCGGGATTGGGGGGAGGATGAGGGAATGGGTTGGGTTGGGAGTGATAGGTTAGTGGTGCTTTGCTGCTAGGTTGGCTGGGTGGGATGGGATAAATGAATAGGAGGCATACAGTACAGATTCATAGGCACGGCAATTAAGATCTGATGTTGCTTCTTGATATCGAGTTATTCACTGTCTCAGTGTTGAATGCCTCGTGGCAAGTGTGATGGGCAAAAAAACATCAAAAAGTACGCACCATCCACAATCAAATAGATTGTGGTGGCCAGCCACGAAAACCCATGGGTTTTACGAGGATTTGAACAAGGAAGCTGTGGGGCTGAGCAGCCGAGGGGGGTACTTGCCCTCGACCAGCAGGCTGACCACTTGGCAACTTTGGGTGTTGGCCGCATGTGCTGCTGTCCTTGTTGGATGATGTGTGCGAAAACCAGTATATAAACTGCAGTTTAGGAAGGAGTAAGATGATGATGAGGAAGGAGCGAAATGGTGGTAAAAAGGAAGGAACAAAGGGTGGTAATGAGGAAGGAGCGTTTGGATGTAAACCGGAGCGGGGCCGGTCGGCATCGGGTGGCTTGCACCGTTTGGTACGGTCCAAACGGCCCGGCACTGGGGCTTGGACCCCATCTAAATGTGAGACTGACCAATCAGATCATGTTGCGACCGTGTCAAAGACATCTTGTCCGTGCTCACTGCTACTGCTGTAAGACGGTGATGTTGCAGTGTGGCCTTCTGAGGCACGACTACCTACCTAGGTAGTTTTGTCCAACAAAGCAAATGCCACCAATTGTTACTGTTGCTGCCATGCTGTCAGGTGTTGTCTGACCAATTCTTTCTTTTGTGTGCCCCCGGCTGGCTTAATCAGATACGTACAGAGCGTAGTGGCTTTTTCTTTTTTTTATCCTTCCAGGTTGATTGCTACATACGGTTGCGACGAGAATACCTGGTGTCGATCGAATTGATTGATTGCACCTTGACGACCGAACGGCGGCGCTTCTTCACGGCGGGATTAGATTCGAGGGAACAGACAGAAGAGCATGAGACGATAGACATCCCCTTTTCCGTTTCAACCCGTGGCGGCCAACAGCGCAACCAAGCGAGCGAGCGAGCGCATCGCAATTCCTACCTACCTACCTCACACACCACCGCGTCCACTTGAACAACTCCCACGATGCGCCTCCTCTCAACAACAACCCCCGTCGTCGTCCTCCTCCCCCTCCTCTCCCTCACCACAGCCTACACCCCCCTCCCCGACTCCCTCTTCTCCTCCATCACGCCCCCGCTTCCAACAGACTTCGACATCCTCCCCTCGCAACCCCTCTCCCTCCTCTCCCCGCTCCTCATCCCCCGCGTCCCCGGAACGCCAGGCCAAATCCGCGCCCAAGAACATTTCATTAAATTCTTTACCAAAAACCTTCCCGAATGGGAGATTAGTTGGCAAAACTCCACCGGGACGACGCCCGTGACGGGGGATAAGCAGGTTCCCTTTCAGAATATAATACTCCGGCGGGAACCACCCTGGACGAAGAAACGTGGGCCGGGGCAGGCGAGCTTGTTGACGCTTGTGGCGCATTATGACAGCAAGATTGAGCCAAAGGGCTTTATCGGGGCGACGGACAGTGCGGGGCCTTGTGCGGTGTTGATGTACACCGCGAGGGAGATTGAGAAGGAGTTGGTCAAGATGTGGGGCGCACAAGATGGGGGGAAGGTTGAGGAGGGGGAGGAACGGAACCGGAAGACGGGGGAGGATGTGGGGGTCCAGATCTTGTTGCTGGATGGGGAGGAGGCTTTTGATAGGTGGACGGATACGGATAGTTTGTATGGGGCTAGGTGGATACTCTAGGGAGAAGGGGGGACAGGAAAGGGGAATGCTAATAAGATGGGATAGGTCACTGGCGCAACACTGGGAGGCTAACCCCTACCCGGCCATGTCCAAGTTCAAGAACCCGATGAGGCAGATCAGCTTGTTTGTCTTGTTGGATTTGTTGGGAAGTGCTAGTCCGAGGGTGCCGAGTTATTTCCAGTCGACGCACTGGGCGTATCAGAGGATGGCGAGCATTGAGGGAAGGATGAGGCAGATGGGGATATTGAAGACGAGTCCCAAGGAGCCGTTCTTGCCGGATGGGGGGAAG